TTGCTTATCGAATAATTAAAAATAGTACAACACAATATGATCTCTTCTTTTTAATGTATAGTTATAGTATTGTAATACTACTAGATCTAAATCTACAAAAATTAGAAACAGACTTGGATTTGGCTCTTGAAGTGTTGATAAATTAGCATGTTAACAAAATCACAGCCAAACTAGGTCAGCATTAGAAACAGACTCAGCATAATATTAAGAAAGCCCAAAATCAACAAAAAAGTATTACGATAATAAGATCAAAATAGTAGAATTTAAAATCAGAGATTTAGTATTGCTATACAATTCGGCTAAAGAAAAGTTTATAGAGATAAGTTGTATAAAAAGTAATATCTAAAACAACTATAGTAGCAGATAATTTTCTTGTAAATAAATTAAGCAATAGTAGACACTTTCATATCAGAAATAGCCCTGGCCTCTAGCTATTTAGTTAAATATTCTGTGGCTACTACAATATAGTGATTACTTTTTTATATAATATCTTTAAAAGAGTTTACTATATTAATCCCTATACAGTCAAAAGGATTTCCAATGCTTAAAGAATTCAACTTCTTGTAGACCCTGGGTTTGCTTTAATATTAACAAATATTACAAGTTTGTACAAAACTTGAAATAATTTTATATATTTTGGTCCAGAAGTATTTTTCTTAAATCTAATTATAAGTAGGTTCTATACTAAAATAGCTAGCTAAAGAATCTGATTATACTGTATATAACAATTTTTTAATTCTTTTTCTCTTATTACTTTCAAAAGGTATCAAGAATTAGTTTTATTTTTCTTATACAGTGTATTTTCAATTAAAAAATAATAGGCAGCTACTTTTCTAAATAATATTTGCTGTTTATAATTTAGATTCTGAGGAAGTCTGGTAGTTTTTAAATAATTGACTAGATAAGTATATTATTATGGATCTATTCTGGGTAGATGGGTGATAAATATTATTGAGGTGGCTGATCAGGTTTAGTTTGTTGATTATATTATTATTATTATATATATATATGTACTATTATTATTATTTTGTTTGGGTTTTTGAGTAACTAGCTTGTTTTTTTTTCTTTTGTTTTTCTTAAGATTGGTGTAAGGAAGTCAAAATAAAATATTAACATTATTCTTTTTGATAACAGATAATACAAGAGTATTCAGAAGTAATTATTATCTATCAGACAAGTCTATTATTGAATTGGGGTTGTTTAGTAACCACTTCAGTGCATAATGGTTAGTTACTAACTAAACTCTTCTCTGTATATATAAAGCCAGAAGTATTGTATACTTCATATAGCTGCTAAATACTCGATTTCTGTAACAGAATATTTTTTTCACCATCACTTAACCTTTGACTAGTATAAACTATAATGTAATCCTTACAGATTTCATTCTTTTGTGCAAGAATAGCTTCCAAGCTATTATAGAAAGCATCAGTATGTAAAACAAAAAGGCTTCAAAATTGGGTATTTTAGAATAGGGCTATGATTAACCATTGCTTTAGTTTCTCAAAAGCTTCCAAACAATCATTGGTCTATTTATAGGAATTATTCTTTTTTAACAATTTATTTAATAGGTCAACAATTTGAACAAAATTTTTTACGAATCTACAATAGTACAAAACTAAGCCAATGAACTTTCTTAACTATGTCAGGTTATTTGAGACAAGATAATCATGAACTTTTTCGATTTAACTAAAGTTAAGTAAAATTCTGTCTCTACTGATTATATTCTTTAGAAATATCAATTTTTGTTTAAAAAATTGATATTTTATTTACTTAATTTTAACTCTGCAGTTTTTAACAAATCTAAGACTATTTACAGATGTTTTAGGTGATCCTCAAAGATCTTGAAATAAATATTGATATCATTGAGATATACCAATACAAATTTTTCTATAACTGACTTAAAAACCTTATTCATTATCTGTTAGAATATAGCAAATATATTAGGAAACCAAATAGCATAACTAAGAACTTGTTAAGGCCATCTTTAGTAACAAAAGCTGTTTTTTTTTTATTCTGAAGGTCTATTTGATCTGCTAATAGCTACTGACCAGATTCAGGATAGAGAATAAGTTAATGAATCTAATATGTTATCAATACATGATAAGAAATAAGAATCTTTTTAGATAAAGAAATTTAGTTTCTTATAATTAACACAAAACTTTGTTTTGCTATTCTTCTTTTTTACTAAAACTACCAAAGACTTCAGGGGCTGTCAGATAGCTGTATAATTTTATATTTTAGTATTAGTTCTACCTCTTTATTTATAAATTTATTTTCAGCTTATAAGATATGATATGAGCACTGCTTTATAGATTGAGCTACTTCTTCCAAAATGATATGATGCTACTCTATCTGAGTTCAGTCTAATTGAGTTAAATTTTCTGCAAACTTGTAACTATTACTTTTTAGAAATTCTTCTATTTTTCTATCTTGATTTTTATTTAAATAACCAACTACTCTGTCTTCTTTTACAACTTCTAATTCTTTATCCAGATTATCTACTAAATATTTCAATATTTTTACATCTTCTATGGTATTCTTATATACCAAACATTGATTTTCTTTATTTTTTAACTAATTCTTGCACTAGCACACAGTTTTTAGCTCTTTTTAACTCCTTTAATTAAACTTCTAACCAAATTTTCTCTGCTATTCTTAGTTCTCTAACATACTGATCTACTAACTTATTCTTATTATCAATACTAATTGTCATTTGATAAATTTTTATAATAAGTTTCTCATTGTAATTTTTCTAGACTACATAACTTTGATCTATTTTCTTAATTTCAGATTTGTACTTTTCTTTTTTTTTTTTTTTTTTTTTTTTAGTTATTAAGGCCGATGTTACGGAGCTTACTGCCTTTATTTGTGTTTTTAGTT